GTCTGTTTTAATAAGTATGTAGTTCTCTCAGTCCTGCTGATATAGAAGAGCCTGCGTGGTAAACGTGAACAGTTTAATTTAAAAATCCCCAAGACAGGTAACTCTGGTCATCAGAAGCACTAAGATTTCTTTACTTGTTTCTAAAGCCCATATAGAGCACTGCAGAGCTTTGCTTTGGCCCTTGCACTTGGAGCAGAGGCTGCTGCTGGCTGGACATTAGGGCAAAGACAGCACAGGTTTCCTGCCCTATTCCAGACTAGGACTTTGCCTGGCTAATTTTTTAAGTTATGAAAAGGCAATTGATAATGTCTTTTATTCAGCACCATTTCTGTGTTGTCATCCTTCTTCTACGAGTGCAGCTGAACAAATTAACTTCTGCAAACTTTGTGGGATTGGTTTGGATTGTTTTATTATTGTTGTTATTATTAACAACTTTTCTTTTTAGGGGTGAAGTGATCAATGGGGGCTTTGGCCTTGTTTTGGATGGGTCCGCGAAGGCTGAAGAACGAGCTAAAATGATGCTCAGCTGGGATGTTTCCAATGGAGTAAGCAAAACTCATTATATATGTAGATTATAAATACCATCTTCCTGCCTCAAAATGTGCACTCATTTGGGGCTAGCTTCATTCAGGTACTCCAATTCCTCTCCTCCTACTCATTTTAACTGAATGGGAATAGAGCATGACAGTGTGGGATCTTGCCCTTTGCATCCCAGGAATAGTCCTGATGGGCCAAATGACTCATTCTGTCCACTCCTAATACAGGCTGCTTATGAATGAGCCTGATCCCACTGAAATCAGTGTTTTTTATTTTTATTTATTTTTTTAACCAACATCAATGGGCTTTGAGTCAATAAAAAAGTCTGAAGAATTCTTGGGTAAGGAATTTGCTGTAAAATATCCAGAGCACTCTGTCTGACTTTATAGCAAACAGGAGTCCAGTCATGCAATCATTTCTGCACATCACAGTGTGAGTTGCTTCTTTTTATTTGTTCTATTTTTGTTTCCTTTTTAAAGAAAAAGAAAACAGAACCAAGCTCAAGGTTATTTTAAAGTAGATGTTTGTTCCTTCCTTGTCTCCATAGTAATGACAACTATAATGACTTCAGTCATGCCTGTCCCAAACTTTGATCTAGATTTCTGGAAATGTTTGTCATTAAGTGCCAGCTTGTGCAGCCCTTGCTAACACTAGAGTGAGTTTTTGTCTTCTATTAGCGTTCAGATATGCCCTGTCTGTCTTTGGCTGTGATGCCACCTCTGAATGAGCAGGAAGGGCTGTTCAGCTCGGCCAGATGAAGGCAGTGCTCTTGTGTCAAGATGTCTTGAATCAATTCTTGCAAAGAATGCATCCAGTAAGGTGTAACGAAACATAGTCCAATTAAAAAAGCCTTGTTTTACAGTGGCTTAACCAACTTCACAAGGACGTGATGTTTTAAAGGAACTCCTTGCGGATGCTGACATGATTTGTTGTTTTATTTCCCAGAACCATGAGACAATTCCTTTTTGCTTTAGACCTGAGTATTTTTTTTCCCTTGAAGGACCCATCTCTCAGGAGGGGTAGGGGGAAAGAGAAAAACAGTTTGTATATATTCTCTGTCTTAGGTCTCAAATATCATATTAATAAACTATCAAGGGAAAAGCAGGACAACTGAATTAACTTGTAGATTTGAATCATGAAGGCAAACCCTTAACAAGCCCTGTTTACCACAGGCTGCCTATTAAGAACTCAGTAAATCTTTTGTTGCTCTGATTCATTGCAAGCAAAAGCCTCACTCCTTCATGCACATGTTTAAAAGCGACAATTCAAGAATGTTGCTCATTTTATATACAAAACTGGAAAGAGCCTGAAATGTATCCTAGAAAATGTATTGCTAGAAATAATCGAAGTTGAGTAGCAGGAAAAATGACTTTTTGACTTAAAAGGTAATTTCCAACTCTTATGTGATCTTGACAACTTATTATGAGTCTTAGGTTAATCTTGTACTTAAATCTTATGCTAAATTGGAACCTAAGCATTTTCTTCCTTGAACATTTTTGAGTCTGTCTAAATATTCCAGGCACTGATTTGTAATCCTTAATGAAATGAGATTTGTAAGGCTATGGTATACAGGGAAGTACTTATTTCCTTTATGCCAAATCTTGATATTTTTATTCATTTGGGGAGTTTTGCCTGTTCATAAACCAAAGTTCAAAGCTTTGTCTTTGAAAGAGGGCACTGGCAGTTCCCTTGGCATCCACAGAGTTTGACCTGCATGTACTAGCAAAGAATTTGGCTCCTTGATTTATGGTTCAAAATGCTTTGAGTGATCTTTACATTTTTCCTGATATCCTACTACAAAGGCACTGATTGCTTAAACCATACTATTACCTAAAACAACTGCTAGTTTTACAGAGCTGGGATGGAAAACGGGATTATTTTGAGGGAGGGAATTTTGTGATGTGTCTTTTTATAAGGTACCTGACTCTACCAGTCTTATCAACCCAACAGGATGTTATAGCATGTAACCAAGTCCACCCAACAGCTACTCATAAAAATGCTTTGAGAGAAGATATTTGTAGATATTACAAGAATTACTTCCTATGTCAATAAGGAAACTTGGAACTGGCAAGGACTTGGAAGACTTACTGCAATTAAATTGTGTGCCTGTATTTGCACAAATATTGGGTAAGATAGGATGTGGCAAGAGAAATGCAGAATATTCACACCTATCAATCATCATTTTCCTGTCTGACAGGTTGCCAGACGCTGCTGGTCAGGCAATGACTACGCTTATGAAACCATCTGCCAAGCAATGAAAGAGAATGTCACGCTGAAGGTGACGCTGCCTCACAAGGTGGCAGATGAGAGCATCTTGGAGCAAGCCTTGCAGCACTAATGGTATTCCAAACGCAATAACGTCCATGCCGATGCACACTGCAGTTGCTTCCTTGATATCCTTCCTTGGTCTTTGGCTAAATGATAAAACCCTTGCAGACGTCTCTTCCAAAGGAAGTTTCTTTTTTCTTCCTTAAAATCATATGTGGAGCAGACGTGAATCTGTCTATGCAGCAGAACTGAGACAGGTCCATTGATGTCAGGAACATATTTGGAATGATATTTACAGGAAAGTACTGTAAAGAAAAGAATCAAGGTTCATTCCTGATAATTAAGCTTTATAAAAAATATCCACTTAGGTTTGGCAGATCATCTATAGAACTGGAAACTGGAACTCTCCATCCTAATTTGGAGTCTGTTGCTAACAGCAAATAGCCATGAAATCCAGCTAGACAGGGCGTGGGAGAAAAGACTTATGGAATTCATCTTCAGATGATGGAGCATGTAGTGATGTTACATGTGCTAGATAGAAGCTTTTGTACAAGTTTTTCTGTATGCCATGCCAGTGATTGCTGTTTGCAATAGAAAGGGACAAATAAATAGCAAGTGGTTAGCAGCTATCGTGTGTGTGTTTGCCTGGAAAATGATCACCTGAGATTTTAACCACAAGCAGGAGCTGGTTGCACTGCCAGGTAGGGTGGGTGGAAAAGCCTGAGGGTGGTAAGCGCTAACTCACTTCCAAATGCCTTATACAAAGGCCAGAAAAATGTGGAACAACTCATGGTAAAGTAGAACTAGTGAAATTCCTCTTCAGTCTGAGATAGTCCTATTCAGCTGAATCTGATATTACATCCAGTTTGCTGGCTCACAGTGATGACCTGTTTTGCTTGAGCAAGTTGGAGCATCTTCTAAACATATGGAAACCTCTGGGAAAATCTAGATGCTTAGAGCTGGCATCTAGTTTCTCACAAGAAAATACAGGCTATTCATCTCCTTTATTTCCTTCTGAAATAAAACAGAGCTGATGTGAAATGGTGCAAGGCCACTTTGTTGCCTCTGGGGATGGGTTCTTCGTATCTTACACAGTGTGGTCTTAAGACGATAACAACTGTTGGACCCTGTGGTACTTATCAGGTAAGCCCTCTGCACCCGCACCGCAGCACTGTCCCTGTGCCAAGTGAGCAAAATGGCATTTTTTTGTGATTGAAGAAAATCAGTTCTTTACTCTGTTCACGTACTGTGTATGTCTCCAGCTGAACAGTGTGAGTTGGCATCTGCTTGCAGCTGAGCCTTCTGTGAAGTGCAATCTGCAGTTTAACAGAATTGCTTCATATTATGAAAAAAAAAAAATTGCCAAGTTACACAATTGAGATGTGAATAGCTGTCAGCCAGATTTGACAGCTTTTCCTTTAACATATGTTATATGTTACCTCTTATTAATAACCACCCTGGCCTGGGCCCAAAGTTACTCTCTTGGTAGCTGTATCCTTATACAACCACTTCAGTCTTCCTAATCCAAGAGTTTTGCCATGAGGAAGGGGCAGGGTCTCCCTGTGCTGGGAACTGTGGCTTGTCCCATGTCTGAATTGCTGCTTGCTGGGTTTGGATGTGGCTGCTGCGGCTCTGGGGCAGGGAG